TGGGAGCCTAAATTGGGCTGCACGAAAGGTAAATGACATAACAAACTCAAAATAAGTGCTGATTCAGTATTGCAAATGATGTCTGACTAAGAAAAAAATAGAAGAAAACGAAAAGAAAAAAATTACTAAGTTAACTTGTATTCAAGAAATCTATGTTTATCTGAAGAAATGAGAAAGAGAAAAAAGAAGTTAAAAGGCATATTATTTACAGAATAACAAAATCTGTGATATTTAGCTGTCCTATTGATGTCCTTATTAATCACAAAAATATGTATAGAAAATAATTTCTTGACTGAATCAAAAAAGTGAACATCAAATTCATTTTAACATCAGAACATTAATGTACATAGGGGTAAAAATTAAGAAGATTTAGTCACTGGTCTAAAAGACCAATAACTAAAAGAACAGAAATAATACCAAAACAGCCCTTAACATTGATTGATAGTTTAGAAACACTCACTATTTTATAGTGGTCCATGTCATATTAAAGTCACCACTAATTTTGTGCTATATATATCTATACACACAAATTGAAACCTGTTGNAAAAATCTGAAAAAAAGCGGAAATCCGCGAATCCGCGGAAGAATCTCATCCCTGAAATTGAAACCTGTTGAAGAAATTCCCTTTTAAAAAGCTTTAAATTACCATTTAGACTCTTATTTCCACAATACTAAATTAACACTTTTAAAAAGTTTTGTTTTTAACTGTTAAGAAGATTGCAAATTTTCTTTTCAAAGCATGGGAAATCATACAAAGAAAGTAGACATAAGTTTTTAGAAATGAAATTCAGCGTGGCAAAAATCTCTGGATTCTGGTAAAAAAAAGTTTTAGGTGGTCTTAAATGTGTGGTCACTTTTTTCATTGACCTTCACATTTAATTCAGAAAGACATGTGTTATGAAAAGTGTAGCGAGCCATCAGAATAGTTTGTCAAGTAAGCGAGGGTATTGTATGAGCAGAATGTGAAGAAATAAGTAGAAAGGAAATGTTACAGAAATTCTTAGTTCATTTGATGTTATAAAAGGTTTAAAAAGATACTCAAGACTTGGACAGTTTTCCACAATATATTACTCAGGAAAAAGAGAAACAATAAATTCTACTTGATTTCATTCAGAAGAGACACTTAAGTACATATTTCCTTCACGGATGTTTAAGTCGGTAATATGTACATTAAATTTTATTAACGCAATATGGGGAAGATATTATAACTTTGGTCTACTTATTTAAAAGCTGTTCCTATCCCATGAAAAACTCTTTTAACAGGTTTAACTGTTATAAAGATAAAAAGCAACTAACTGACTCATTTTAGCTGTAATGTTAAAAAAAAAATAGGACCGGAACTACCTAAGCATAAAATGTGTCCAACTATTATTATGCCTATGCATATTATATATTTTAAATGAAAATTACATGCAGTTACATAAACACAACGGAAAAAGGAATAATAGGAAAAAAGCAAATTTCAAGCTCAATTAGCAAACTCTAAAGTTTACTTGTTCTTCAGGAGGTGTTGCTGCTGTTGTTTTGCAGCTTCAATTTCTACACAAAGCCAAATATAGCACAAAGAGTAAAGGAACAAAAGAAAAGAGTAAAGAAAGAATTGCGCTAACACAAATTATAAAGAAGATATACACGTAGATCAGAAATGACTGAAGGTTGAAAATTTACAATCAGGATGCAGTTTTAAAAATTAGCAAGTTGTTTAAAGTAATAATTATCATTTAAAACAAAGATAGAAAACACTATAAGATTATATTAATATTAATTTTTACTTATAATAATGAAAATGTAAAATATTCATTTAAGAGAATATATAAATAAAACTTAATTGAAAATAACTGATGAAGTCCTTTAAAGTGATGATGAACTTAAAATTTTTGGATGAATCCTATACTTTTCAAAACATTTTATTTTATGCTTTTTATTTTATTTATTTTATAGTTTTTTTTTACCAAATTAGCAATCTTCGAATCCCCATAGTGCAGGACATGACATAAACTGCTTGGTTTCAAATGCAAAAGTCACCAAGCAATGACAGCAATGAAAGAGAGATAGGCCAAAAGGAATACTTTCTCAAGTTTTAAAGCATGTTGTCACACTTCTTTATTCTTTCTTTTCATTTTGGTTTGAATAAATTTCTGATTTAATTCTGCAAATTTAATTTCGTTTTAACTAGAATAGAAGCATCTGTATTCTTCACAACTATATCCTAATTTTGCTATAACAAGAAAAAAGGACATTTTTGAAAGAAAAAAAATGAATAAAGCATAGATGAATTTGATTGACAAAATTTTTACGTATTATTCCCTTATTTTTAAACACGAAAAGTTATTAATTTTAAGAGAAAGTTTCTTCTATAAATAATTTATATAAAAAAAAATACATTTAAAGCAAAGAAAGGTTCAATTAATTCTAAAAAAGTTTTCAGTGAATAATATCACAGGCTTAATTAGATTCAAAAATTAAAATGATTGTTAGATATATACATACCCTCCAACTTATGAGGATTTTGAAAATAATTCTTTCTAGTGGTAGCGAACCAAAGTAGAAATTTTCAAAGCAAATGGATCTCTCATAAAACTTTTATCAGAACTTAAGAATCTAGCCATATGGCCTGCACTTTTATAAGTAATAGTGGACAAGTTACGCTAAAATTAGTTTTTTTTAAGTATTAAGATATTAATTTTGCTACCATCAGAAAAGAAGATTTCTGAAACTACGGAGATTCCGTAGCAGTTGGAGGGTATGGATATATATGTCAGCAATATTTTTTTTAAAAAAAAATTTGCATATTTTTGCTTTAAGAAAAATACTTGTGAAGCATTTTACCAAACCTCAGTATTTTTCACCAAAAAACAAATAAAGGTAAAATAAAATAAAGAAATTTCAGCAACAGCACTGGAAAAGAAAAGTCCTATCTTGATGAAATCAAAGTAGACCTAATACATGCATAAACACATTTTTCGCCTTTTGACATGAAAATATACAGTACACGCACTAATATTTCTTAATTTAAACTGTTGTTGTTCATTTACATCACACTAGAGCTACACAATGGGCTATTGTCGACACTCTGGGAAACATCCCTGATGATGATCCGAAGACATGCCATCACAATTCTGGTCCTCTGCAGAGGGGATGGCATCCCCGCTTCGGTAGCCCGACGACCTGCACGTGAAGTCGAGCACTTTACGGTAGAACAGTTTAACGAGGACCAATACGGCACACCCTCAGTCCCTAGGCACACTGATCCAAGTGGTCACCCACCCGCACACTGACTGCAGCCAGTGATGTTTGACTTCAGTGATCTGCCGGGAGCCGTGTCGTAACGACCAGTCCACTGTGGGACTAAATTTAAACTGTTAAAACTCACTTTAGAAAAATAAAGTATTTCAATGGAAAGAACTATTCATTGCTATACTCAATGTAATTAAAGAGTTTTGAGTTCATAGTATTTAGCATTATTATTTTCCCAATAATCACGAAGGGAAAATTATTTGACGGCACGTCTGTGACCTCATTAAACAATTTTTTGGAAAAAATGGCACGTTGGTGTATAAAGGTTCCCCATCCCTGTTCTAGGTGATACAAAAACGATATTTTGTTTTAAATATTTTAACAAGACTAAACAATTATTCCTATTAACTTAAGGGATACTGAAAATTAAGGACTTTTAAAAACCTTGAACCGAAACTAATACTTTTAAAGACTGTGGAAAACCTTTTCAACTATTAAAAATTGTACTTTGGTTTAATACTTCTTAATCAAAACAAACTGTTCTTACTTAAAGAAATGTTTTAATAATTTTGAATGTAAACCAACACTAATTATTATTTCTTTTAACAAAGCTATTTCTGGACGATCCCTCAGTCAACCATTTTCAAATATTGTGATAAACTCCTTGATTCTTCTGCTTTTGAACAATAAAAATAGAACAAAAATTGTGCTAAATTATTTTTATTTAAATGTAACATTTCATTATTAGGATGCCATACCGCAGAAGAAAATGTTCATTGCGAATTCTCTTTCTCCTTCAGTACTTATTTAAAATTTAATCGAAATAAAAAGTTCAGACAAACCTGAAGTTTTTATTTCATTATGAGGATGCCATACCACAGAGTGTCATACCGAATGCTCAAAATATTAAAATGCAAACAAATTATTAGAAGAGAACTTCTCCGTTGCATAATACTAAGTTATCATCTTATAATTTATTTAATTTGTATATTTTAAATTTTTCTTCTCAGTAATTCGATATTTAAGGCTTACTCTACGTTTGTTTGAATTCACTTTTTTTACACTTTAAATAAGTAATGTAGGAAAAAGAGAATTTGTGCACTTCTGATTTCTTNGAATAATTTTGTTTCTTAAATATTGAAAATCAACTTGAAATTTAAAAAAAAAATTATAAGAAATTAAGAAACAATTCTGTAACATAACATGCATTTCATGATAAACAGAATCATAAAATTAAAAAAAAAAGCCATAAAAATCACCTGAAAAAAATATTTAACTTAAAAAAAAAATCTATTTTTAAGCACTATTTCTGATTTTAAATTCACATCACACAGAATATAAGCTAACTTAAAATTTCCCCCAAAAAATTTTTTTTGAAAATATATATAAAATAGAAAGTTTAACTATGACAATAAATTAAGATATAAATAAATTACTGCTTTTGAAACTGCCATGCAATTTGAAAGTTTAATATACATTTTATGTATTGATAATAAAATTAATAGGAAAATTAAGAAAAAAATTCATCAACACTTATCAAATAATTCATCAACACTTGTTTCAAAAAGTCAAATAATTCATAAAAATTTGTGATGTAATGCAAAATGTTAAATATCTTAATCTAAAATTATGCTCAACTTTAAAAAGCTTTAAAAAGAAGGCATCCAAGAAAAGTTACACTTGTATTTACTTTACTAAAATATTCTCTGAATATCAATTAATAAATAAATTTAACAGCTTAATAACTTCTGGACACAAGAAANTCTAATAGACCACCTGAATGGAACTTCAGTCTTTACTTTAACTCCACCGAGGAGGACTCCAGGAGCAAAACTAAGTGGATTAACATGTGGTGTGGTGATATGCTGAGCTGCAGATACGAAAGGTGTTACATTTGAAAGGGAAGAACTTGAAGAGGCAACTATGGCAGAGTATGAGGCAGGAATAGCCAAGGTTTGAGGTTTTAAAGGTTGAGAACTAAAATTAAGAAGAATATAACAAAATTAAACATTTTAATGTTTTCAAAAATTTCAGGTATTAACTTCAAAAATTGTTCAATGTTTTTAGAATATTTTTATTTTAATAAATGTAACTTTAAACAAGTAGTAAATGAGTTTAAAATCCTATGACACAATATAGGACAAGTATTTACTAAATATCTAATTCATCAGAGTTAGAATTTTAAGTCTAGACCATTTTATTATAGCACAGCATATTTGTGCTTTGAAAATATGCAAAATACCCTAGGAGAGTTTTTAAGTAAAAACAGTACAGATATGTACTAACAGAGATAGTTTTCCCAATCACAAAACTTGATGAGAGAGGAGTAAAAGGAACAGTTTTTGAGAATCTTTAGTTTTAACTAACTAATAGTGACTTTAAAAAAAATTATTTTACCGAAGGTTAAGGTAATTGTAATGTATGAAAATTCTTTATGGGGAAAAATAATAAATGAAAATAGATATTTGTACACCACTTATTTTTTTAATCTTACTAAATAAATTCAAAAATTTGTCAAGAATTTAAAGATTGATATGTATAAAATTCATTTCTAGAACGAAAAAAAAAAAAGCTTGGTGAGTAGGTGTATAACATTGAAATTGTTTGTTATGTTTGCACTTTGTCTGTTGGCAATGATATAGATAGATATTTATTTGCATTAAAAAGTAAAAAAATAAAGTGGATGCCTTTTAGTAACATAAAAGTTTCATTCTTTGTGTTTCAATTATAAATATGTGTGACAAGAATGATTTCTAAAATGCATTTGCAGTTATCCGCACTGAACAGATACAAATTCTTTAAGACAATATTTATATAATATATATTAGACAATATATATTATATAGACAATATTAAAATTAGTATTCTTTAAGACAATTGAAAATATCCTTCAAGTTTTTTTTCCTACTCTAAATGATTAATACTAGTCAAAAGATGTTAAAAACAGTGGATATTATTATTTTCTTCAAGGAGTTATTACATTTTCAAGCTTTACTGTGAATACAAGCACTATAAGCAACTATATAAATTTAACAGAAGGTAAATGTATGCTTACGCTTTTTTCTGCAGAACAAGCAGTTGCAGCTTTGCAGTAGTTTTAAAACTAAAACTTCAAGCATCCTCATTAACAACTCACGGCTATAAATAAAGCATAAATTTTTTCCAAAATATAATAAACATCATAGATGACTTTTTACTGCTTCATACATATTATACCAGAGCTACTGTTGCTACAAATATTATTCTTATGGAAATTACTAATTTTCAAAAGAAAAAAAAAACATGGAAAATTTCTACAATAGACTTAATAGTTAGCAAAGAACAATTTTCATTGCCAGAACAACAAAACTAGTTATAATACCATGAATTATAAACTAGTTATAATACCATGGAATAATCTGAACTGAAATACACTTTAAGA